TATGCCCGTGTGGTGCTGATAATTCCACACGGGCTGGCCGAGGTTGTCACACGGCCGTATAGCGACCCCCTTCTGCCCGTGTGGAAATTCCAGGGGCTTCACACGGCCAAAGGGAAATTCCACGCGGCCGTGCATAATTTAGGCCTGGCCGTGTGGAATTCCAGAGCCCCGGTTTCGACCTGTTTTCGCGCAAAAGCGACATCCGAACCTTGGACAACACTTCAGGACTCAAAAACACAAAAATTAAAAATAAAAAGGAAAGGAAATGCAAACCTAGGTGGGGTTGCCTCCCCACAAGCGCTTATTTACCTTCTTTTAGCTGGACGCCAGTAGAGGAACTAAGGGTCCTCGAGCTTGATCAGCATCTCTGTGCGCTCGACATCACCTGCCAAGTACAACTTCAAGAGGTGGTCGTTCACTTTAAACGACTCAGTTTGAGCATTGTTGATCTCCACTACACCGTGCGGGAAAACTTGGGTGACCGTGAAGGGTCCCGACCACCTCGAACCTAGCTTGCCCAGAAAGAGTTTCAGGCGTGCATTGAAGAGAAGAGCACGATCACCTACCTGAAACTCATTCGGGCCCCTCAACCGAGCGTCGTGGAGACGCTTGGTTCGCTTCTTGTAGAGCAGAGTGTTCTTATAGGCGTGGTAACGCCATTCCTCCATCTCCAGCAGTTGCAGCTTACTTTCAGTACTTGCAACACTCAAATCCAGGTTTAGTAGCTTAAGGGCCCAGAAGGCCTTGTTCTCTAGCTCTACTGGCAAATGATAGGCCTTCCCATAGACAAACCTATAGAGTGAAGTACTGATCGGGTTTTTGTAGGCTGTCCTATATTCCCAAAGAGCATCATCGAGCTTGGTGGACCAATCCTTGCGGGACTGATCCACCGTCTTTTCGATTGTTCTTTTATGCTCCCGGTTCGTCAGCTCGGCTTGACTGTTTGATTGGGGGTGGTAAGCTACCGACACCTAATGCTTAACACCATAGCGAGAGAGGAGCTTATTGAATTGCCCTTGAAAATTGGTTCCTCTATCACTTATGATGGCGCGCGGTGTCCCAAACCGGGAGAACAACTGCTTCAGAAATGAGCAGACTCGTCTTGCATCATTGGTGGGCATGGCTTGAGCTTCTGCCCACCTCGAGACGTTGTCTACTACAACCAGTATATACAAATTTCCAAAGGATGGAGGGAATGAGCCCATGAAATCGATGCCCCAAACATAAAAAATTTCACAAATGATAGATATATGTTGGGGCATCTCATCCCGGGAAGAAATTTTACCTGACCTTTGGCAGCGGTCGCACTGTCGTGCGTAGGTGTCTACATCCTTGAAGAGTGAGGGCCAATAGAAGCCCGACTGTAGCACCTTCCGCGTCGTGCGGTTTCCTCCATGATGACCTCCAATAGGTCCCTCGTGGTATTGAGACAGGATGTCTCCCATCTCGTGCTACATGACGCAGCGCTGGATCATGCCATCTGCTCCGATCCTAAAGAGGTAAGGATCCTCCCAGAAGTAATGTTTCATATCGGAGAAGAACTTGCGCTTTGCATGAGTGGCCATCCCCTTCGGTAGCTACTTGCCCACCAGATAATTGGCAAATTCAGAATACCAAGGGGCCACGCGGTCCACAATGTCATTGCCAGCAATCGCTCACCCGGGAAGGAGTCATCGATCTCTTCCACGAAGTTGTCCACGGGAGGGGCTTCCAACCGTGATAGATGATCTGCAGCAACATTCTTGGCTCCCTTGTCTCGAATTCCTGCAGAAGCAGGATCCAGCGGATGAGCCTAGGCTTTGCATCAGCCTTGCTCATCAGATAGTGAATTGCTGAGTGATCTGTGTAGACCACCACATGGGAGAGCACCAGATATGTCGGAACTTATAAAATGCATACACCACAACGAGTAGCTCCTTCTCAGTGGTGGTATAATTCTCATGTGCATCGTTCAAGGTCTTCGACGCGTAGTAGATGGGCTGGAAGTGCTTCTCGCGTCTCTGACCCAGAAATGCTCCGACTGTATATCACTCGCATCGCACATCAGCTCAAAAGTAAGAGACCAGTCAGGAGTCACCAAGATGGGTGCATGGGTGAGCTTCTCTTTCAATGTCTTGAATGCAGCTGTGCACTTAGGAGTGAACTGGAATGGTGCATCCTTCTCCAGCAGCTTGGTCAGAGGCAGGGAAATCTTCGAGAAATATTTAATGAAGCGCCTGTAGAAGCCTGCATGACCAAGAAAGCAGCGAATCCCCATCACAGAAATGGGAGGAGGTAGCTTACTAATAATCTGAATCTTCGCGCGTGTAGACACCACATTTTGTCCGGGACAAACACTCTATGTAAAATAAAAATATAACAACAAATGAAAGTGGAAACTTGTGATGAATTGGTTGAAATTAGCAGTGGCGAGTCAATAAGCACCAATGATTTATCAAATTTTCTTTCTAATATCATATGAGTTGAGACTAGCAGTGGTAAGTCAATAACTAATCAATATTACCAACCTAGTCGATTCTAGGATTGGTTAAAATATAATCGATTTAATAAGATTAGCAGTGGCAAATCTTAAACATTAATTATAAAAAAACAATAGAGGTGCAAAGCTTGAGGTTCGAACATGGGCGTGATAGATGAAATGGAGGCAAAAGCTTTATAGTTAAATTTGACACATGGTACAAAGTACGAACTGAAACTAATTACAATGACTGCCTGTTACTACTAACAACAAAAAATTTGAAGTTTGAACACCATTTCAAACTGGGCCGACTCATCAATTGAAGTCATTGGGCTCCTTTTCTTCTCCTCTCTTTGAGCCCAAACCAGATCACATACCTGCAAAATGAAAAAGAAAGCGATCATGATACAACCCAAAACAGAGCCCAATTCGGCCCAAAACAGAACCCAGGTTCAGGACTAGACCAAGCCCTGGTACCGGCCCAAACGAATTCAAGGCCCAACTCGGCCCAATCTTATCCAAGCAGTTAGTCAGCACCTTTGTAGGTGGAGGCCTTAGAAGCAGCCTTGAGAACCAACCAATCAGAGAGAAGCATGTCATGCTCATCATCAATCATAGACTAAGCAAGGTGGAGGCCTCAGAAGCAGCCTTGAGAACCAACCAATCAAAGAGAAGCACGTCATGCTCATCATCAATCACAGCATGACACGTGGCATGCAATTCTTGCTATAAATGAGCTCTTTGGGCTCTGTGTTGAGGGGGAGGGGGACGAAGAGAAGAAAAAAAATCTATTTTGCATCCCAAACAATTTTTTTTGGTTCTTGCTCTTGGCCGAAGTTCATTGGAGGAAACTGCGAGATTGAAGGAGCGAATTTGAAGATTGACTCGGGCAAAAGGCCATTTTTAGGCCTAGAAATTCAGGTTGGTACTGGTATCAACTTTCCATCTTTCATTTTTAATCCAGTCGTTACAATCATTATAATGTTATAATCATCCATCATCTTGCCTATTTATATTCAAACAATTTACTTTACAATCCATTTTACATCCAATCACTCTTAAGATGTGCTCGTTGTGATGTCATTAGGCTTTTTTCAATTTAGCACTTGTTTACCTTTCTCATCAATTGATAGTCTCTTGTAATCTTATACTATGTCGTCATATTTACTTTTAGATTAATAGTTGATAAACACTAGATCATCATACACAATAAACAAAATCAAATCCAGATCTATGGCAACTATAAAGACAATAATATTCGATTCACAAACTCTTATCAGTTTCCAAATTAATCAAAAAAAATGTTTGAATTAAATTACGTGCAGTAGCAGTATCATTGTCCATAACCTACCCGAAATCACAAGCAGTGGTAATGGATTTAGTTCACTTTTCTATCAAAATCACATGTAGAGGGTGAGAGTTATACTCGCCAAAATTATGTTAGTTACTTTTCTATTAAAAAAAACCTTTTCTTATCAGCAAACCCTAGCGTGTCAATAGTTTAACCTAAAACTATCGATTAAACCGCAAAGCATAAAATCCGATGTCATCATAACCATATACATCATATTTCCAAACCACAGATCTGCTAATCAATCCCAAATCAACAATAATAATCCGTTTATTTAGTTTAATTATCCTTAGTCATACCAAATCTGAAGTTAGAAGAGCCTTACCCAGATCTGGATTCTCTTTCAAACCTACAAAAAAGAATGAACTAAATTAATTATTTTTGTTAACAATAAAAATGATAGATTAAAATAAATTTAGGAGTCGAAAACCTACCCTTCTTTTGTTTTTTTTAGACGAAGATCGTGGTCGGCAGGATCTCGCCGCCGATCAAATCCAAAACACAAAAGAAAATGAAACAAGTATTAGCCAAACCCCAAATAAAATCACCTAAATCGAACGAAAATAGACATGCATGTAGAAAAGGGCTTACCAGAGGGTAAGACCTCCTCGTCGTCGCCTTTGTTCCAACTATAAAGGGTAGGTCGAGACTGTTAGAAGGTAAATCGAGAGCCCTTCCTCGGTTCTGGCTCGACCTCCGAAAGGAAAAAACAAGAAATAGGGTTAGAACATAGAAAATCGAAAAATAGAAAAATGGTAAAAATCTTATATGCAAACAAAAAAACCTAACCTTCAGAAAAACCTAGTCCCCATCGCCGTTGTTGGCGTTGGCGGCGCTCGTCCTCAGTCGCCGCCGGCGACGCCCCTCTTTCCCCGTCGTTCCCCTCGTTATTTCCAGAACGAGAGAACGTTAGCCCTGTCATCCTCTCGGTTTATAGAAAAGAGTGAGAAAGGAAGAAGTGAGAGAGACGAGTGAGCGGCGGTTTTATTCGGCAAGGGTTCTCTGGAGAAGATGAGAACGAGAGGGAGAGAGGCGGCTGGTTTATTCGGCTAGGGTTTCGTTTTTCTTTTTTTTAGAGTGGAGAGGAGGAAGCGAGAGGAAGAAGAAGATGAGAGAGTGGCGGCCAAAATGGTGGTGATTAGGGTTCATTTTTGCTTATATACCTTTCCAAATGACTAAATCGCCCCTAGGGTTTATTGTTAATTACGCGGCCTTGCCACCGCATTTTCGAGAAGTTACAAAACTACCCTTCCCCCATATGCACACTAAAACGAAAAATAAAAAAAATCAACGTTCACAAGTTTCGAACCCAGGTCCACGGGTTCGTACCCGACAAACAGCCAGCATTTTGGCCAGTTAGGCTACTGGCACATCTTACTTTATTTAACCATCTCGTTTATGTTTATTATTTAAAATGCTTAATACGAAATATGAAATACGGATTAAGTTAGTGTTGCTTCTTGTCGTGTACATCGAATTTCTTCTTAATGATTAAAATTCTTGCATTCATATTAGTAACATCATAATAATCTAAATGAAGTTTTATTAACAAAAATTAAAATGCGAAAATTAACGTTCAGTGGAACGTGGTAAAGTTATAATTATAACGATTAAGTTCAAGCGAACTACGTGGACTTTGATCCCGTCTTACGGGTACGTAGGCAACCGATAAGGTTCGAGTCCAATTAATCAACTAACTTTATCTTTAAATTTTTACGTCAGTGGGCGTATAATTAAATTACAACTAATATGATTAAATCATTAAATGGTCCAGCGGGACCCCTAAAAATTGAAAAATTATTACTAAAAACACACCCAATTAATATAAAACTTATCAAACTTAAGTAGTACCGATTTAGGGCGTTGTGGGGGTGTTGCTTAACTTCCCCACACGTAACCGTACTCCCGAACCCATATCTCTTAACTGCAGACCATATCTCGGTTCTGACCCTAAGGTTAGAGCCGACCGAAGAGTGTTCGATCCACTCCAAGTAAGATCGATGGCGACTCCCAAAATGCCGACGCGACGACATTCGGACCCCCGGACGGGACGGTTGCGACAGTTGGCGACTCCGCTGGGGACTTTGAGAGTCGAACTACAGAACTAAGTTCGATAAGTTTTCTAATTTTCTATTACGTGTTGGGTGTTTACTTTACTATTTGCGCAATTATATTTTCGCATTTAAATTATGCATTCATGCATGAAAGCTCTATACCCGAGCTATCCCATTAGAAACGGAAAAGGAGTACCGTGACTTTCACAGTGGTGGTAGTCACGCAAAACTTTCCAACCAAGTTGAACTCAGATCCGAGGATGATCTTGAGGTATCCAACCAGCTCGTAAGGGCTATGGCAGGATACAACTTGGGGACCAAATCCCTAGGAATTCCTCTGCGAGCATGTAGTAAGCATAGAGGCCTCCCTAAACCGTCCAAAATAATCCCGAAACAACCCTAGCACCACGTCATTATGCCCTCTGAAAGCCCTAGGTTTTCCCAAATAGTGCTATATTTTTATTATCTATATATGTATGTTTTCTACTGACGTGATAATTTGTGGTATGTTTTACCAATCGCGATATATTTATTTGTGAGAACAATATGAATTTTCTTTTCTTCTTTGAAAAAAAAAGGAAACTCATAAGCATCATTCTCTTTTTGGGTTTTCGCTTATGCATTCAAAATAAATCTTGAGAACATTTTCAAAATGCACGTGCATCCAATGAATCATCTGTGCATCTGTGCATCGCATAAGCATCATACATACTCTCCATTACTCATTCAAGTCAATTTAATAAAAATAATTGGTCAGGGTTCCTTAAAATTGCTCGTCCACAAGGAAAGAGTCAAGACTTCAAGTACTTAACTAGATCCAAGCTCGAGGTCGTCATGGAGGCATTTCAAAAGGAGTTGAACGACATCAAAGGAAAGCTGACCGGTTTTGACGAGAAGCTAGTGGGGTTCGATGAGAAACTAACGGGCTTCGATGAGATGAAAAGCCAGCTCAACACAATAGTGAGCATATTGTCCAGAAAAGGGAAGGAGGTTGCAACGAACGAGGAAGAAATCGTATTTGACGACGACGATCACTATGAGCAACCTCAGGGAAACGTCTCAGGCAGTAAATTCATTCTCATACCTTCGAAGAACACAGGCGACAAAGGTGATATTGGGTCATCAAAGCATGACAAATCCGGAGAACCCGAGAAGCAAGAAGAACATAAAATCGAAGCTATGCTAGAAGAAAAATTAGAACACATTAATGAACGAATAAGAAGCATAGAAGGAGTTGAGTCGTACGAGCCTATGGATGCATCACAACTATGTCTAGTCCCGGATGTCGTGATTCCTCACAAATTTCAAATGCCAGAATTTGAAAGATATAATGGCACCACTTGCCCAAAAAGTCATCTGGTCATGTACTGTAACAAAATGGCCAACCATATCCGAGATGAAAGGCTAATGGTACATTGCTTCCAAAACAGCCTGAGTAGTTCTGCCCTACGATGGTATATGCAACTAGAGAAAACAAAAGTGAGAAGATGGCAAGACCTCGCTGATGCATTCATGAGGCACTACAAGCATAACCAGGATCTGGCTCCAGACCGAGAAGACCTGAGGAATATGGAAAAGAATGAAAAAGAATCTTTCAGGGAATATGCTCAAAGGTGGAGAGAGAAAGCTGCGGACGTTCAACCTCCTCTGTCAGAAAAGGAGATGGTGTCAATCTTCTTCGGAACACTAAGGGCTCCATACTACAACAACATGGTCGGAATTACGACGACCAACTTTGCGGATCTGCTTGTAATCGGAGAGCGAATAGAAAAGGGTTTGAAGCAAGGTCGGATGGAAACCCCAGAAGCCTCTAAGAAACCACACCAAGCCCGAAGAGGAGAAGCAGATGTCCATTATGCTCAAACAGAATTATCCAGAGGAAGAAGGTGGGATCATCAACCTCAGGCCAATCAAGCCCATCCATGTGTTGCAAGTGCTGCAATAATTAATCAACGTCCAACTTTTCCTACTCAACGATCCATCCAGAGCCCGACACGAGTCGCACCACCACCAAATAACCAAAATCAGAATAATTATGAGAGATTCAGGAAACCCATCCAAATCGATCCTATTCCTATCACATACACTGAACTTTTTCCTCAGCTAATTCAAGGTAACCTAATCTCCCCAATACCATGTGAACCTATGAAACCTCCTTATCCAAATTGGTTCAAAACAGACCAGCATTGTGCTTACCACTCGGGAGTAGCAGGACACTCAACTGAGGATTGCAGATCGCTCAAGATCAAGGTCCAACAAATGATGAATACTGGTTGGTTAAAGTTTGATGATGAGCCAAAGCGTCCGGATGTCAACAATAACCCACTGCCAACTCATGGGAATTAGTAGATATACTACAAGGCAAAGCTCGATTTAAGGATGATGTTGATCCTACCTAGTAAATAAAATATCGAGATAATTTGCTTTAGCAAAATATGTATCACTTCTGCTTTTATCATAATAAATAAAAGGTCTTTCATGTTTCGACCTCTTTGGAGCATTGTGTGACCACTATCGATCTAAATTTAAGAGTTTGCATCAATGTTTTTATCAAAATCATGAATGCCACTTCGGATCCTTTTCTTTTTAAAACGGATTTATCTTCTACAAAAATGAAAGCCATCAAAATCCAGTTTTATTTTCAAGCTAAGCCATGAGATTGTCATGCCAAGAAAATGTGAGCACCCCACTGGTGCTGAGATTTGGGACACTCCACTGGCGTCGAGCAATTATCAACACCATGCTACTGTCCTAATTTTGAACACCCACTGGTGTTACGAGTGTACTTGTTTTGCTAAAATCGAGAGGTGAACACCCTACTGGTGTCCATGAATTATGTGAGCTAATAGTCAAAGGGTGTAATGAGTATACGACATCATGCTATTTGTAGAAACTCGTCACCATTGTAGTAGACTTTTGCCAACAAATTGAGGTTTAGTTTGCGTGAAGTCAAGTAGCCAAATCCCGATGCACGGGGAGCCTAACATTACTATCATAGCAAGTAAATCCTCACAGAGTCTCATGACTAGAATATCGAGGAAGATCAAGGACATAATTTATCATGCAAAGGATTCACACCAAGAAAGCAGTCTTATCCTCGATTCGAGAGCTTACCTCCTTACGGACGGAGCGTCTATTAAACTCACACGTCAAAGTCCGATCGTGAGATATTTGCGCAATACCGGCAAGCAAATGGCGTCAGCATCCCTACTTTTACCAAAAAGAATAGCCAATTTAATCTAGTTATGGAGAAGTGGCACTCACATCATCGATCATCAAGAAGACTCTCTACCTTTCGATAATCGTCCTACCAGATACAAGTGCTAGATCAGGGAAAATGTGAAACACATATGGGGCATGACAGAGTCCAGTAAGTCCCACACATACAAAACAAAGAAAAGAGACAAAAGAAAAACAAACAAAATGTCGTGGGACTTACAATCTAGGTGCCCCCGGTTTAGCATTTGAAGTACCAAATACCTGCACCAAGCCAAAGTCTTGCCCGATCAATCTCAAGATACGACAAGAAGGACCTTCAAACAGTAAACTGTGATGATAAGAAAGTCGTTCTAGCCAAAACCCATCATCCAAAGTACTCATCATTTTGAGAGAAAGCCAGAAGCTGAAAATCCACAACATTCAAAATTTAGAGGCCAAACAAGGACCTCGACAAGTCCCAAGCCAGATTGCATTCACGAAAATCACAGCCTCGGCTAGAGAAAAATACTGGGGGGCAAATCCAGCTGAGAATACATTCTGAGAAAATCCACCAGTATTTTCGAACAAGACTTTGTCAGCAAATAGATCCAGATAATAAGTGGTTCTTAATCCATCAAGTCAATCCCATACTTTGGGGGCAAATCCAAAATCCCTCTACAAGAAGCTTTATACAGATATTGTCGAACTACACCTCAAGAACAAGGAGACTCGTATCCTCAAAGTCATATCGGATAAAGGCCTCTTTCATGGGAAACTAAGAACGTTAGTGACGAAGCCATATGCAGGTCTCCTAAAGCAATCATACCAAGGGCTTCCATATTTGAGTAAATCATCATAAGGAACACATTTGGCCACAACATAAAGCCGACATCTCAAGGTGACCAGAATCTTAATGGTAGCTGAAGTGTCGTACACTCAAATCACCTATAGGAATGAGTGAAGAGCGAAATCCAAAGCAGGAGTGAGAGCGATCAAAATCGAAGGAAAGCGTGAGAGCGAGGGCTTACTGATATTCTCATGGCTTGGCTTACATTTCTCTTAGAAAACCAAATTTGGCAATATGACAACTACCACATAAAAACGGTTTTGTCCAGTTTGCACACACTTCTTAAAACCAAAGTCTTGACATGGCTTTCAATTTTAATTCTCTAATAAACGTTTTTCAAACATTTTTGCTTGATATAGTCACTCTTTGTTCCGAAGAATAGAAAGTGAGTAACGGATCTTCGGGGGAAAAATTGGTGCATCATGGAAGAAGGGGAAGTCTGAGTACCCAAGAATCGGATTAATCATCTTTTCACGCATGAGCTGATGGGAAAATCTCAGGAAGTCTGAAAACATTCAGATCTCATTGAGCCAACCAGCCAATCGATTATGCTTCAAATGCATAGCAAGAAAGAAGTCCTATTATACCGCACTGACTGAGAATTATACGACTCTGAAACGTGTGGGCCCATACCTGGCCGAGAAGAAGGATAAAGCAGTACACATCATCACTTCACCTTACAAAGTATATCATCGCACAACTACTACCAAGAAGATATATTCAAAACAACGAGTTCAAAGTCACTCCAACATAAAGCATGACCTAAGGATCGAGTCAATCGAAAGGAAATAACGATTCCTGGAGGATGAGCAATTTAAAGGACCCCAGGTTAAAACACAAAATAAAAATCAAAGCAAAAACAAAGCAACATATTTGCGTACCAATTGTAAAGATCATCGTTTTGTCATTTTCACTCAACATTCATGACTTCACCAGCATGGCATCATACATAATTATTTCAATACCCACTGCATAACATCATCATACGTCAAGGTGACTTGCTATGCATCACGATCAATTCCTAAAATTCCTAAAATATCTTTCTAAATGTACATGAAAACCTTTTTATGCGAAATACCACTACGCATTTACCAAATGTTAGCTTGATCTTTATCGCTAGCACATTTCTCATTGTTTGATTTGATTTTTGTCACAAGCAATTTGAGTACAATATCCTTTACAAAATTGTTAGTTTGATCGTTATCACTAACATTTCTCATTGCTCTATTTGATTTCTATCATAGACAATTTGAGTACAATATCATTTACAAAATTGTTAGTTTGATCTTTATCACTAACATTTCTCATTGTTCTATTTGATTTCTATCATAGACAATTTGAGTACAATATCCTTTACAAAATTGTTAGTTTGATCTTTATCACTAACATCTTCTCGTTCCTATCACAAGTAATTTGAGTACAATATCATTTACAAAATTGTTAGTTTGATCTTTATCACTAACATTTTCTCATTGTTCTATTTGATTTCTATCATAGACAATTTGAGTACAATATCCTTTACAAAATTGTTAGTTTGATCTTTATCACTAACATCTTTCTCATTGTTCTATTTGATTTCTATCATAGACAATTTGAGTACAATATCCTTTACCAAATCGTTAGTTTGATCTTTATCACTAACATATTCCTCATTGTTCTATTTGATTGCTATCATAGACAATTTGAGTACAATATCATTTACAAAATTGTTAGTTTGATCTTTATCACTAGCATCTTCTCATTGCTTGATTTGATCCCTACCACAAGCACTTTGAGTACAATATACTTTACCAAATCGTTAGCTTGACGTTTATCGCGAACATCTTCTCATTGCTTGATTTGATTCCTATCACAAGCAATTTGAGTACAACATCCTTTACCAAATCGTTAGCTTGATGTTTATCGCTGACGTTTTCCTCATTGTTCTATTTGATTTCTATCATAGACAATTTGAGTACAATATCATTTACAAAATTGTTAGTCTGATCTTTATCACTAACATTTCTCATTGTTCTATTTGATTTCTATCGCGAGCAATTTGAGTACAATATCCTTTACCAAATCGTTAGCTTGATCTTTATCGCTAACATCTTCTCATTGCTTGATTCGATTCCTATCGCGAGCAATTTGAGTAAAATGTCCCTTACAAAATTGTTAGTTTGATCTTTATCACTGACATCTTCCTCATTGTTTGATTTGATTTTTGTCACAAACAATTTGAGTACATCGTCCTTATAAAATGATTAGCTTGACGCTATCGCTGTTATTCTACCATTGATTAGTTTGATTTTTACCACGGATAACTTGAGTATATCGTTGATGCAACACAGTTAGCTTGATTTTATCGCTAGCACTTATTTTGATGTTCATCTAAATTTCTATCATAGACGACCCGATTATATCATTGTTACAAAATTGTTAGCTTGATTTCATCGCTAACATGTTCCAAAATCGATCAATTTGTTTCTATCACGAACAACTTGAGTATATCGCTGTTCGTTGTTACCGAATGGCCAGTTTGATTTCATCACTGCCATTTTCTTATACAATTTGGTTACCATCATCTTAACAATATGGATACGTCATTATTACCACGATAAGTTCAATTCTACTTATGAGATTTTCTTCAAAATGTGGTGTCTTTATAAAACTTTGTATAACTCTTTATACAAAGAGATATACAAAGGGGGGCAACTGTAGACACCACATTTTGTCCGGGACAAACACTCTATGTAAAATAAAAATATAACAACAAATGAAAGTGGAAACTTGTGATGAATTGGTTGAAATTAGCAGTGGCGAGTCAATAAGCACCAATGATTTATCAAATTTTCTTTCTAATATCATATGAGTTGAGACTAGCAGTGGTAAGTCAATAACTAATCAATATTACCAACCTAGTCGATTCTAGGATTGGTTAAAATATAATCGATTTAATAAGATTAGCAGTGGCAAATCTTAAACATTAATTATAAAAAAACAATAGAGGTGCAAAGCTTGAGGTTCGAACATGGGCGTGATAGATGAAATGGAGGCAAAAGCTTTATAGTTAAATTTGACACATGGTACAAAGTACGAACTGAAACTAATTACAATGACTGCCTGTTACTACTAACAACAAAAAATTTGAAGTTTGAACACCATTTCAAACTGGGCCGACTCATCAATTGAAGTCATTGGGCTCCTTTTCTTCTCCTCTCTTTGAGCCCAAACCAGATCACATACCTGCAAAATGAAAAAGAAAGCGATCATGATACAACCCAAAACAGAGCCCAATTCGGCCCAAAACAGAACCCAGGTTCAGGACTAGACCAAGCCCTGGTACCGGCCCAAACGAATTCAAGGCCCAACTCGGCCCAATCTTATCCAAGCAGTTAGTCAGCACCTTTGTAGGTGGAGGCCTCAGAAGCAGCCTTGAGAACCAACCAATCAGAGAGAAGCATGTCATGCTCATCATCAATCATAGACTAAGCAAGGTGGAGGCCTCAGAAGCAGCCTTGAGAACCAACCAATCAAAGAGAAGCACGTCATGCTCATCATCAATCACAGCATGACACGTGGCATGCAATTCTTGCTATAAATGAGCTCTTTGGGCTCTGTGTTGAGGGGGAGGGGGACGAAGAGAAGAAAAAAAAATCTATTTTACATCCCAAACAATTTTTTTTGGTTCTTGCTCTTGGCCGAAGTTCATTGGAGGAAACTGCGAGATTGAAGGAGCGAATTTGAAGATTGACTCGGGCAAAAGGCCATTTTTAGGCCTAGAAATTCAGGTTGGTACTGGTATCAACTTTCCATCTTTCATTTTTAATCCAGTCGTTACAATCATTATAATGTTATAATCATCCATCATCTTGCCTATTTATATTCAAACAATTTACTTTACAATCCATTTTACATCCAATCACTCTTAAGATGTGCTCGTTGTGATGTCATTAGGCTTTTTTCAATTTAGCACTTGTTTACCTTTCTCATCAATTGATAGTCTCTTGTAATCTTATACTATGTCGTCATATTTACTTTTAGATTAATAGTTGATAAACACTAGATCATCATACACAATAAACAAAATCAAATCCAGATCTATGGCAACTATAAAGACAATAATATTCGATTCACAAACTCTTATCAGTTTCCAAATTAATCAAAAAAAAATGTTTGAATTAAATTACGTGCAGTAGCAGTATCATTGTCCATAACCTACCCGAAATCACAAGCAGTGGTAATGGATTTAGTTCACTTTTCTATCAAAATCACATGTAGAGAGTGAGAGTTATACTCGCCAAAATTATGTTAGTTACTTTTCTATTAAAAAAAACCTTTTCTTATCAGCAAACCCTAGCGTGTCAATAGTTTAACCTAAAACTATCGATTAAACCGCAAAGCATAAAATCCGATGTCATCATAACCATATACATCATATTTCCAAACCACAGATCTGCTAATCAATCCCAAATCAACAATAATAATCCGTTTATTTAGTTTAATTATCCTTAGTCATACCAAATCTGAAGTTAGAAGAGCCTTACCCAGATCTGGATTCTCTTTCAAACCTACAAAAAAGAATGAACTAAATTAATTATTTTTGTTAACAATAAAAATGATAGATTAAAATAAATTTAGGAGTCGAAAACCTACCCTTCTTTTGTTTTTTTTAGACGAAGATCGTGGTCGGCAGGATCTCGCCGCCGATCAAATCCAAAACACAAAAGAAAATGAAACAAGTATTAGCCAAACCCCAAATAAAATCACCTAAATCGAACGAAAATAGACATGCATGTAGAAAAGGGCTTACCAGAGGGTAAGACCTCCTCGTCGTCGCCTTTGTTCCAACTATAAAGGGTAGGTCGAGACTGTTAGAAGGTAAATCGAGAGCCCTTCCTCGGTTCTGGCTCGACCTCCGAAAGGAAAAAACAAGAAATAGGGTTAGAACATAGAAAATCGAAAAATAGAAAAATGGTAAAAATCTTATATGCAAACAAAAAAACCTAACCTTCAGAAAAACCTAGTCCCCATCGCCGTTGTTGGCGTTGGCGGCGCTCGTCCTCAGTCGCCGCCGGCGACGCCCCTCTTTCCCCGTCGTTCCCCTCGTTATTTCCAGAACGAGAGAACGTTAGCCCTGTCATCCTCTCGGTTTATAGAAAAGAGTGAGAAAGGAAGAAGTGAGAGAGACGAGTGAGCGGCGGTTTTATTCGGCAAGGGTTCTCTGGAGAAGATGAGAACGAGAGGGAGAGAGGCGGCTGGTTTATTCGGCTAGGGTTTCGTTTTTC